TTTATGTTATGGTCTATCTATGGTTAAAATATGAGCAAAATCTATTTTTTGAGCTTTGCCACGATTGTCTGGTTTTTACAGACATCTTCTCTTAATACATAGTATATGTTATAGTTCCTTATGTTTGGTTGTTTCATCGATTTTCTATACATTAAAATAATCACAGATTTTAAATTTAAAATTCTGTTTCGATTATCAGTACTTGCACTTTTGAAGTTACAAATCACTGTATTTTAATTCATTCGTAATTTACTCATCTAGAATTCTTTGTGGTGTCGAAAAAATTGGGGGTTTGTTAGGATGTGGAACTGCTAGAAGTCCAGTAACCACTCAAAGGCTATCGAACTACCAGCAGACCTAGGTATTTAAACTCCTTTAGTTAATGTCGCTCACCTGTTGGGGACAGGGGAAGTGCAACGCGAGCCCCGCCGCCCCCTTCCTCGGTCAGTCTATTATACCGCGTGACTTCTAAGGCTGTCACCACACTCCCAGCGAATGATTTGTAAATTTCTTTTTCCCGTGACATTTGAAGCGATGAGAAGCAACAACGTTGCTTGGCAACGTTACGAATGTCACGGCAGGGCTGAGTACATCCCCATCCATGTCCTCAACCCCAATTAATAACGTGTATGTACAGTATTTATATAAGGAAAAGGAATCTTCGTGTCTCATGTGGGATGCATTGGTCTGACAACTGACATGCGCAACAACACAAAAAAGATAGAATAGCTCTTATCGTAGATGAGCACGCCACACGTAGAGAGAACTGAGTTACCAAAAAAGTCTTATATTTATAGTTGGCATTTCGAACATGAATGCTTTATTAAGCCACTGGGATGACAGATAATTGATTCGAAGCCGAGATCTTTGCAGTCCAATTTTTTTTAAATACTGTCCACACTATGCGAGGAGGCTCTCAGTAAAACACTGCATACGAGGGCTCTTATAGTCTATTCGTACGGCAGTCAATTTCGTTCTGTAGTTCTCAAGTATGTTAAAAAGAGTTGTTCGAATCTTAACTATCCTATCTTCGTTCAGAAATAGAAAGCGAATAGCTTTTATACACTCATAAACTCACGGCTATGAAATAAGCTCCGAATAACTCAATGATCACAATGGACTAGCAGACTATGCTGACACACGGCTTCAAAACATGAACTTCGTGACCACCATAAAAGACTATAAACATAAACTTTCATGGAATATGACTTAGTAAAGCTCTTCTGTATCAYTTATTGCTTCTTAACAAACATAGGATAGTTCGATTCAAGTTTTTTAAATTACCAAAAGTCGACTGCCATAATCAAAGGTTTACATTTATGTGTTTACGTTTATTATGCCGTACGAACGGTCACTCCGTTTCTATCTCAGTGGCTTTTAAACTTATAGAACGATTGACTAAAGAATCAAACTTTGGCGGAGCTCTCTAAACTGAACCAAAACAGCACAAAAGGTGGGGGGGGGGGGCGGTGAATGGGAATAAACCAAGCAGAGCAACCGCAGATCAGGGGGAGTACAGAAAGACAGTGGAAAAATTTAGTGGCATTCAGTGGATCAACGTTCCACCCTCAGGTATGAACCGAAGTTATTATGCATATAGTACGCCGTATAGCCTGGCAATAAATGAAGGAACTGAAGGTTGAAAAAAATTGGGGGTGAACTGGAAGTCCTTCGACCGCTGATAGGCCGCCGAACTACCTGTCCATTGTTTAGGGTACATCGGCACAGAACTAGCTCTCTCGCAGAACTTAGCGCGAGTGCGCACAGAATGAGCACTACGGACTAGTCTGAGATATGAGTTAGATCTTGTATCGAGGTTTTTTTTTCGATCCCGGCAGGTGTGAGTGGAAGTACAAAGCGATCCTTAGTCTGCCCCCTTCCTCAGAATTAGCCTATTCAACCACGTGGCTCAAAGGCTTTCAATGCACTCCCCCTGCCGGTAAAGATTTTTGTTGTTTGGTATTTGGTATTTGGTTTGTGTTACTCGTTGCAACAGGGGAGAGAGGCCTGGACCTAACTCCTCTGTTGTCACGAGGGGACCGGAAGCACGCCCTCACCTAGCATACTCCACGATCCCAACACTAAGTATAGTCTCTCCAATATTTATATGAGGAATGGAACCTGTAATAAGACGTGTGGGATATGGCTCAGAGCAGACATGCGCAATGGTATAGAGGATTGCGTCAGACGTTCGGAAAATATAGGTCAATGTTTAATTTTAGTTTTATTTCCGTAAAAAAGAAATTAAAGAATCGGTAAAACAAGCAATAGATGGCGTCTGCCTGATCAACTTCAGGCCAATAAACGAAGAAGTTTCCCGTTTCTAAATTCAGTGATCATATTGTAGTCATATGTATCAGTATTTTTAGTGGTAGCGAAATATAGATGGTGTTCACTTCGCTTTTACGTCCTTCTCTTCCGCAACCTACGACTCTCTAACGACAACTCAGGTATCTCTTCTACAAGATGGAAGAAAGAAAGAAAGGAAGAAGGAAGGAAGGCATCTATCGGGTAGAAGGTCAGCTTAGCGAATAAGACTATACAATCGGCTTAAGACTTTTACACGAAGGCAGATGTTAGTCGACAATCAAACAATCAAAAACATTTAACTGTTACAGTACTACAGAATCAAATCGTTAGCAATTATTGTTACTTTGTGAGTTTCACCATCGAAAAAAGACTAGAAAATATATACACCAAGTAATACTGTAATTTATTGAGCAGAAACTAGGCAAAGGGTATAAAAATTTACTCGGTGAAGAGAGAGAGTTAGAGTAGTTCAATTATCTCGGTTTTTTTGTTTTTTTTTTGTTTTTGTTTTTCACTTTCACAAAGACAGAAAGTGAAGATTATATTGAACTAGTGAAGTTTTGATCTCACTCCAGCGTCAAAATATTCACARATACCAAYGGTAAAGTAAAGAATGCACAACTTCAACAACGCAAACACCTTGAAATTTCACGAATATTCACTGGAACACATGAATATGTGCATAAAATACAGGCTAACCCTGAGCCAAAGAGAACTTGAAACTGGGGTAGAGTAGATTAAACACAAATAGAATAACATGTTGACAAATTCAACAAAAAAGCCAAAGATGGATCTTTTCTTATCAAGAGATGGGGAAAAAAAGAGAAACAGACTAAAATAATGAGAAAATATATAGACGTGCGTTTCGCTTCAAGGTTCAACAATGATAAACAACTTACACTAACGACGGGGATTCCCCTAAATTTTGCTTAAGGATAAACCAATCAAATCAAGTCTTTTCAGCAAGATTCCGTTGTTTCTTAGAATTGGAACAGAAGCACAAACTTAATTATGCGAGAAAATAAATTCTACACTAAAAGACTTTAAGACTACCTTTGAATGTTTGCAAAGGAGGAGAGCAATAATAAAAAACTGTCGAACTGTTAGAACTATTCCGCATTTTGCATTACATAATTTGTTTAGTCGTAGGTTTACAAAAAATACTATACAAACTTTTGGTTGGCCTTAGAGCGGTTTCCGGTTCCGGTTTCCAGTTTCCCGAGCGAACTCCCCGGTTCATCGACGATTAATGCAAACTCCAATTTTTTTTTTCTAGCTGAAACTCTTTGCAACTTTATTCAAGTGTCAGTGATTGTAGAACCTAGGTACTGTATGATGACACACGCATAGAGGACCACAAGTTTGTTAGTGGTTTTCACTATTCAGTGTTTACTCTCCTGCTTGTTTATTTAACACCACAGTGAACCCAAATAAAATATTTATTTAAAAAAGGCAAGATTAGCATGCTACCGTAAGATAAGATTTWAAAAAAATGTTTTTAGCAACCAAAACACAAAGGGAATCCCTTGTCCTTTTCAGCTTAACATTTTATGGGGAGATTGGGGGGTGTTTTGGGATTATAAATAAATGATAAATGCGCTTAACGACTGACTCACCAAGGTCATCGGTTCTTGTTGTCAAGATAGCAGCCTCTCCTCTTCCTTTGCTTGTCAATGCATAAATCTGCAAAGGAAGATATAAAACACGACTGTCTGATTGTACTATACTTTTGTTTAATGTACGACCCAGAAGACAATCCAAAAATAGTCTGTCAGTGCATGAGTTACCTCAAAAGTGTACTCCGTGTCTGCAGGCAGCCCAGAAAGAATCAAGTAATTCTCTGATATATCCAGATATGTGGTTTTTCCTGTAGAGAAGGTAAAAACTGGATGGTAGAAAAGATGTGTTAGTTATTGGGATACCTGTGGTAGAGTCGTGCCGTTGACCTGAGTGTTCAACCTATGATCGTGGACTCTAGTGCTTTCATCTAGGTGAGACACTGGGATACCTGTGGTGGAGTTGTGCGGTTGACCTGGGTGCACAACCTATGATCGTGGACTCTAGTGCTTTCATCCAGGTATGACACTGGAATACCTGTGGTGGAGTCGTGCGGTTGACCTGGGTGCATAACCTATCGTGGACTCTATAGCTTTCATCCAGATGAGACACTGGGATACCTGTGGTGGAGTCGTGCGGTTGACCTGTGCACAACCTATCGTGGAGTCTAGTGCTTTCATCCAGAT